GGTAATGTGCTGGGTAGACGGGTACTTGAGACTGGATTTAAAGTAGAAAAAATCCAGTTATTATGAGTCGGGAAACTGCGTCCCAAGGGGCTGAGCAGGGATGAAATTCAGTTATCTACAAAGTTGATCAGTGGTCGTAGAGACCGCGAATAGCAACGAGGAAGTGATTAGAAAAATTCAAGCCAAATCAAGTAGATGGGAGTTTAGGGGGAGAGAGGAACAACGGCGGAAATTAATTATTGAAAACCAAATGGATGTCTGAATGATTGTAACGAGTAGAAAAGGCTGAGTGCTTACGAATAGTAAGAAAAGTGAGATTTTTCGTGCCTTATCAGCAGATCCGTGTGTATACTCCTTGTCACCTCAATGGACGGACACCGTTTACAGTGCCATGACCAAAGGGCAGGCTAAAAGCACAACATCACATACAAGCGTTCTTACAAATCCAAATTCATGTAATTTAAAAAAAATTGGATACGGGGAACAATAGGACCTGAAGGATAGGACTGCGAGAAACTAGTCACTGAAGAATGGACGCTATTTATCGTAAATGAAAGTGTCGTCTAAAAACGACAGAGAGGAGAAATTGTGGCGAAACCCCGTGTTTATGTGATGCATCAAACATGTTAAGTGGAAAAATGATAGACAACGAGGTTGCTTGGCAACCCTAGCGATATAATCGGAATAGTCTGAATGGAAAAATAAAGTGACTTCCAAGAATATCACATCATAAGAAACGGATAAACCCAGAATTACGTAAAGCCGTCTTCAGAGGGGCCATACAAGGTGGGATATGAGCATGTTTGGGATTACAGGTTGAGCGACATTCAATGGTGACATTCTGGGATACTAATAACCATCCTTAAAGGGTGAAGCCCGGGAGGGCATCCGGCTTGTTGTTTTTAAGGAAACTGTCAGATAATTCAATCGATTGCATGTCAAGGGCATGGGAACCTTAACTGCACTCGAGAGTTCAGGGTGAGAAAGTTCTGACAAACCGTGATCCGTTCGGCAAATTTATTGACCGGTAGTTTCCTCATGACAGACCCCAGACATTTGTTATGAATGGATAATACTTCCCGATCGGCACAAAAATGGCAGTCGTAATCCGGTCACCCCATACGTCAAACGTCGACTAATGCCAGACTCCCAGTGCTAATGTGTTCCCACCTGGGAAGCACTAACGAAAAAAATGGGTCGGGATCGCAGGACTTCAATGGAGAGCGACGTGAAAATACCTCGAAAAAACTAGCCCTCATTTACTCAACCGGCTTCATGAAAAGCATACAGTGAAAAAGCCAGAAATATAGAACGATATGTGTTGAAACATGCCCAGAGGGATAGTATCAGAGGCCAACACCAAAATGAAGCAATATCTCGAGTCAAAACCATCGGTGCATACAAAACGTGTTGCTGCATCTCAGCCAGCATAACGCTAACGAATTGGAGCATCCAAGGGCCGCTTGCTTAAAGAAACATTTCGACGTTTGATCAAGGATGAACGAAGTAAACTTAAACTAATCGGTGACAAATTTATTTGTGATATCACTGACCCGTGAATCTTGTATGAACTGTGAGGGACGAAGATTATGGTGGTCTGATTCGCTCAACTATTTGGTTTGCTAATTCTTGACAATACTTAAAAATATCTGTAGCCTGAGTACACTTATCGGCCATCGATATGTCCATCAGGCTTATCAAACCTCTTCCCGAACGTTTCAAAAAATGCCGGATATATCATCAGTGCGCGCATCCAGCGAACAGATAGATAACCACCTTCGTTAAATAAAAACGATCAAGTTTCAACAATCGATTCGGACTACGTTAACCCTGGATGGCTAAGATAGGCGCATCTCATGTAAAGACAACGTAAGCCGACATCATTCTGGTGCATTGATTTATCACTTGGTCTCGCGACTAGTCTCCCCGATCACACACATAAACTACCCTGACGTTGCGGTTGAGCAATGTGTACGTATGTTATTACGAAAATATAACAAAAGTCACATCAATGTGATCCGAGTGTGCAGAAAACGGGAGGCAAATTGTAATTGTAAAAAACGGAGCGTACACAGGGGTCAATAAAATTGCGGTTTTACCTGTAACAATGAAGCAGGAAAATTTCATACAGATCACGAGGCCCTCCCGGGCGTCGATAGCCTAATGAAGTAAACGTTCAACAATTAGACCGTTCTTAAGAGCTTCCAAACCGTGCTTTCGACGTGAATAAGCTCTGCCGGTTAAGACTATCATTCTCACACCCTTCTCACGGGACGTAAACATCCTAGCTGCATAGCTTAATGTTTCAATCGAATCAAACCTTTAAACTATGAGGTACTATTGATTTATGACTGGCAGTCAGCTCGAAGGAACTAACACCTTATCAGGTGATCAGGAGATGGAATATCAAACAATGAGCCATCTAACACCTTATGAATATCGTCCACGCCAGTGTTAATTCATCTCAAAATCTAACGCTGGCTATTTCAATAGTTTTCGTCCATCAAGAAGGTTAGTGATCATGATTTCATTGTCCATCAGTACAACGAATCCACATTACCCCAAGAGAGAAGTCAGATGTTTGTCACATCTGTTTATGTGGATATGAAGGAAAATTTTAGGTTGACCTTCATCAGACGACGCAAGTCAGTGACATACTTTATCCGAATCTTTCAACTACCATTTAAGGAACACATTCTGTTTATTTTCATTGTTACCAAGCAATAGATAAAGGCTAAAAGACAGCTGTGAGCAGTCAACAAAGTCACATGACTAGCTCACAACTTGTGAATATAAATTCAACAAGCCTGAATCCCACTATAATACCGCTGAGTATATGAGTATATATTTCATGTAATTCAACTGTAACGCGTTCAGCCAAGTTCATCCGTACACCGATAATTTGATACCATCCCGATCAAGTTACATAGGATAAAAGATTGAGTAGCTAACCTAGTTTGATCATCGCATACACCAAGCCACTGAAACAGTGTTATCTGTGATAGCCTGTAAGGCCGACAGACTCGTGTGTGCATGTGCGATTAGACAAGAATGATTGATGAGCTCAGCCGGTGACCGACCGAGCGTAAATTCCATCTCAACTGATGTAAACAAACATCAGCACCAGCGAATCTAGAGAGCAACTAACGATTACAAGCAGCATGATGATGATGTGCGTCCCCGGACAGTTGGATAATAGTAAGGCGAATCAACAGAGTGGAATCGACGGAGTTTATCCGACATATACCCAAGGTACGCAGAGTGGTGTCATGGAAAGGCTGCCACTAAGTGGTCGGTTTGGCGGGAAGTCTAGTTCATGTAAAATGAACATGTCCATCAAATACCATGTGGGGGTTGGGTAGGGTATTGATACAACTCATGTGAAGCCGGCTGATGAATGGTGAACGTGCCACCATTTTGCTTACAAACGTGATTAGTGGCTACGCTCTTGGATAAGTGATTATGTTGAACTCTTGAGTAGGTAGTTCCTTAACAGAGTGCGGGTAAAACATTCCAGCCGCGCTTGACATGTTAAACAAAATGAAGTGGAACCATGCTCGCGGGCAGCTATTCTGCTTCGACCGGGTTAAGTAGCAAGTGAACACGAATAGAAGTGGAATGACCTTCATGATCATGTCTACGTGTACAAACAGATCGGGTCAGTAAAGGATGAAACCTCAGGGAAAGAAAATAAAACAGATCCATAAGAACTAGATAGCGTTAAGAGGAACAGTTCGCATTGTTTATAGAGCGGAAGGTAATTGCGCATCTGCACAGAGTTTCATGTGAGGATATGGCGGTTTCGGAAAATTGTGGGAGTTCGCCGTTTGCTGAGAAGACATACCAGAAAAGCACTATCACTTCAGGAAGTTAAGCAATCATAGAATCACCAGAAACAACTGGCCGATAGACGCGCATACACATCTTACTATGTGGATCAATAAGGAGACATGAAGTTGTCTAGACGCGACACACTACTTATAAGTTATGGAACTGTCTCACAGAAACAAATATAAGGATATAAAAGAGTGCGCGCGTGCAAATAGAAGGCGAAAGTAGAAAACAAAAGATTATTTGGACGGGGCAAGTATTGTAAATAGCTATCGGACTGGTAAACAACTTAAGAACTCATATCGATTACAGAGACAAGTCAAGAGAGAACCACCCCGGTTAGTATGTCCCGAATGAGGGTTTATTCTTCATAGTTGCTATAGCTCAGTTTATCTGACAGTCTAGATAAACATCAGAGCAACCGTCAAGTACATCCCCAATTCATTATGTCCGGAAGGTCTATGTGCACACCATAACCAGAACTATGTTTGTGTGTCGTGTTTACAGACCTTCATAAACCAAGTGCACGTTTGGACAAATTTAGGAGGGAACTGGGCATAAACAAACATGATGTCACAAATCAGTGCAGAAATGAGCAGGACGTGCTGACAAGAGCTTGTGGTACTCTAGTAGCCATGGGAACGAGGCACAATGAGATGAACGTGAGGGGACGAGGAAGGACACAGATTCAAGCGCTGTGCCTCAAAGAACAGTTGGGCGGTGAAAAAAACGAAGAACAAGACAAAGGACACATGGCAGACGACCGTGATTTTGTTTTTCAAAGGGTATACCACTGACCATGTTTGAAGCGCTTACATGACTGTGGAGGAAGCGTGGTCCAACTTCGGTTGCCAAGATGGACAAATTCCATCGAGTAGCCGAGTGGATGACGCGCGGGAAGTTGGAAATGTAGACTGTCCCGGGAAGGGGCTGAAACAAGCGATGGGTCAGATAACAAGGTTGGTTCAGACAAGTAGCCAGAGAACTCGGAAATGACAGGATAGACCTGATCCGTCAATGGCACCCTTCGTGGTGCCACGATTTCTGAATCCCTACAATGGATAGAAAACCAACGCTTGTGTGGTGTGGCCCGTCTCCATGAAAACCGCCGAGTGAAAGGAAATGGTGTCATAATTAAAAACAAAATCAACCATTTCTGGATGACTTACAAGCAAACTGGTGGGTTGAATATCGCGGTTTATACAAGGGCTCGACAGCAGCATTCGGTGACCGCGATGCGGAAATCGGATCAAGGAGCTGATGCGATCGGCTGCGACGTTTTTGCCCGTCGGCCTGTTCCCGTAGAATCGCCTGTAAGAATATCAAATAAGCGTTGAATAACAACGCAGTTGACAGAAGTCCCTTCTGAGTAAGTGTAGTTTAGTTGGATAAACTCACTTCAAAGAACTGAGTCGAAAGGTTGGGGACAAACTCACCTGGCCAATTCCGGAGGTTTGATGGGCAGAAGCTGCGTCGGTAACGTTGGTGCCGCCATCATAGGAATAGTCAATGCTCAAGGCTTCCTGGCTCTCATAGTCATCTCCTTCGTCACCCAAAGTGCCGTTAACTCGAGATTGTTCACGCCGTTTGCATCTGCGTTCACGCACTGAAGAATGAAGATGAAAATACTCTGATTAAAAAAGGTAGGTAAGGATCGTCGCAGAATTAATTTCCTCAGTACAATTACAGAATGAAACACAACAGTCTGGTTGTACTTGATCAGCCGGGAGAAATAGCGTTTTGGTCAGCCGGTTTGAACATACCCTTTTCTTTGGAAGATGTTTTTGCACATTTCTATGCTTGTGTCGTTCACTGACTTTGAGTGAGATCACTGAAAATCGATTATTCCTTAGCATAGCCAGGTGCTCCGTGTAACAAAGCACCTAGTCTTTCCATAATTGCCAGTGGAGACTGCGAAGTTCACTCGACACTGCCCACTTACCTTGGGAACGACTATAATAGCTGAAGCCAGTTTATGAATAATTGGTATTCGCTATTTCTAAGAGAGGCCATTAGCCCAGAATACGCACCAGAGTTTCGCGTAAACAACGAATTGATGTTTGGTCATTCGAAAAAATGCCGCATCCGGAGAGAAGGTATCTCTTGAGGCAGTTATACTACTTGGTAACCAGTGTTTTAGTGCACAGTACCTTTACCTGTGTCCTGAAACTGTTAATTTACCGAGGAAGCCCATTTACCTTTTAATTAGTCCAGTGTAAAAGTAACTCATATCTGATATCACGAGGCGCGATCGACAAATCAGTTTCTCAACAAACAGCCTGATAGCTCTGGGAGAGTACCTCGGATTTACTTGCAAATATCGCTGGTGAGATGCGCGTTTGCGCTTACCCCCGTAACTAAGTGAGAACTCAAGAACTACGGGCACACAGATTGCCACTAGGAGACACTCGGAAACATTGGAGAACCAATCATAATAAACGGTTAACATTAAATTGGCCTACAAAAGTTAAAAGTGGACTGGAAAGTTTCATACAAACCATATTCATCAATCGAAAACGTGTGAACAAATAGCCCTCAAATCAGCAATGTTTTATTGTTAGTCGAAAGACCATGTGATTGATTGTAACTACACCCACCAGTTGAGGCACAATGGAAAAGGAAGATCTCATGTAGTCACGGTTTTCAGGAACCAAGGTTTTTATCTTTTCAACGTTCTGGAATAATGCGACTTGATGTTTGTTTTTCTACATAGCAGCTCACCCTCAGTTGGCCTCCGGAAACAGAGACCGATTAAATGCTGATGAGTTTCTGTAAGCGTGTGTGTTAGAGCATCAGTCGTCAGACGGCGATCTTTAGAACAAGCTTCAAAGACATTCTTTGGTGATATCGTGTATCGGGCGATTGTCAATGCCTGTTAAGATCTTGTTTGAGCACGCTCAATTCGGCGTTCAAACTTCCCGCATTGGTCATGTACGCTGCACAACCACCGTGAAAAAAGAAACATAGTAGAATTCCTGGAAAGCCGTTCTTTCTTGGAGAATGATGAATAAATAATGTCAAGGTAATAGGCTGGAAATATGGAACCGAAAATAGGTTGACGTCAAAAGAATAGTGATGTCAATATTTTACTGGTTTGCTGGGTAACAAATAACTCTATTAATATTGACCAAAAAATACCGTGGCAGCGCGCCTTTGTGTGGGTAAAAAGTCACCTTTCCAAAAAAGCCAGCAGTCGTAAAAAAATAGATTTCATTCTTCAGAGATTCTGTCTCAAACGGAAATGGACTGGATTCAGATCGCCGTTGAAACCCGAGCGGATAGAACTATGGAAGGTGATTAAGACTTAACGTTCCCCAACGTACCCCAACGTACCGCGGTTTCCTAGCACAGCTAAAACTGAGCGACCAGTTCTCTCCACTGGAATTTAGCCTTACACAGATACTGAGGACCAGAAGATAAGAGTTCATGGTTGGATTCCCCGATAAAAATACACAAATAGTGAGGACCGGCTCCGAACTGATAGATTTCTACGAAGTGCAAACCACTGAGCTTTGGAAGGCCCAGTGGTTAGGGCGCGTAATAAATGACAGGAAGATTCGTGGTTCGAACCCAACCCTCTGCTCCTCCTGTCTAGGTCTGTGTAGTTTCTCAGTCCTCCTTTGTGTGGCATGGTAGCTATGACGAACTGCTGTCAATGGAAAGCGTGAACATCAGTTGTGGCACCAAACGTACAAACGAAAAAAACGATGTTTGGGTAGTGTGAGATCGTTTTAATTACGTCCATTTTAACTGATGAGAGCTCATACTTGATACGCAATGAAATGGTAGGCTGATCATGGCTCGATTACATGCTCATGCGCACACCGACAACCTTAGAAGCAAGAACCACGTTTTGACAGATTGAAACACATTTCAGTAAACAATTCCACTTACGTTGGGGCCCAGGTGTACAGAAAATATTAATGCCTACTTGCATTGTTTCGTGTACCGAACGATGACACTAAGAGAAAACGCTGGGTCACAAAATGACGGATGACTGCTTACAAAATGTATCGGCTTCCTTCAAAGTGGTGATGGTAGTTATAGGAGATACAGTAAGCTTCTGTCAATAACCTGTCTGAACAGGTAACTCCGTAAACTTAGGAGGTTGATCAGAGGGGACACTTGAAAATTGGCCTATAGTTGTGCAGTCATCGCTTTCAAAAAAACTGGTTCTTAGGTTAGCAAGTCACTTAGTCAAAACACCAGCGTGGAGTAGGCAGTAGGCAGTCTTAAAAACAAAACTTAGTGAAAATATTCCAGGTGACTACGACCAAGGGGGGCAAAACCAGCTAATTTAACACACGACAGGGGTATACGAATGATGGTGGTCGCCATATTGAACCTGAACCTGGAATTTTGTTCACAAATGAACTTGGATGCAGTTTTCACGCAAAATACGTTGATCGACTGATGCAACGATTGAGTTTATCAGCTTGAAAATGGCTTTTAACTCTATCACCATCATTACCATGGAAAGCAGTGGTTCAGCAGAGGAAAACTGCAAAGCAACCATGGAAAAGGAGACTCTGATGGAGAATGAAAACAAAACTTATGATCTTGGAGAAAACGGCCCACACCAAACAATGTACCTGCAACTTCCAAAATCATTAAAATGAACGCAGCTGAACAGCAACATGGAGTGAGACTCCATTAGTGAGATCGCCAATGCATTTGCCGCCACACAAGCCCAGCATACAACGACAGACAAGCAATGCCTAGGCGGACTAGCTACGGAGTGACAGTCAGCTCACTACTTGGATCGGTTTGGTAGCAAGGCTCTCAGTAACGCTAAGGAAAAACCACGTGACTCCATTCCTGGAGGGCTGGAAGAGAAGCACATAGAACTCAACAGTGAGTGCTTTCGTAACGCGTTACTGCGTCACGGCATGTCCTTCAAGAGCCTTCGGCCAATGAGGGTCTGGAGCGGAAAAATGGCCTCCCTCGGCCGATGGTGCCCCGAAATAGGTAGGACACGCCCCAGCCAACCTAACCTGATACGTTTTATCTTCTGTTCTAGTGAATCAAATCAATACCTGACACTCGCTTACGGGCCATTTCAGCAAGAACATGCTGCAACCAGTTAACGCCGGCTGTTACAAAGACATTGTCGATCGTTTGGGGTATTCAAATCGGAGAGGCTAATAAACAATCACAGCAAGACTGCTCATAAACCGGTATTGAAGACACGCACCCCTCGAGTATTGTTGAAATTAGTTTCTAACGTCAAGGTTTACGCGGGGTGGTTAATACTGCCCATGTCTTAACGAGCAATAAGCATTGCTTTTGGTCACTTTACAGTCGCGAATTCCGCAGCTGTCAAGATAACCAAACTGACGAATAAACTGAAGCTCATCAATATGAAAAACCAAAGGAGTGCGAGGGAGTAAGACAGCACTTGGATTTGCAAGGTACATTTCCAAACAAGAGAACACACACCAATACTCTTCTGAGAGCAGTTTGTACAGATACACGATTGTCAACTAACAGAACTACTTGACAAGCCATTATTAAGCAGGACAACAGATCACAAAATGTCCACAAGTTTGTAAAACAGTAATTGGATTATTGAGCGTCAGCATGTATTGCAGTGTGGTCGGGTTAACAAAGAGCGATAGGTAGCATGCGACCAGATTCGCTGGCGAAGTGTGCTCCAGGATTTCACCACTAAATGCATCGGAAAAAACTCAGCTACACGGAATAAGAACTCAGGTCACGCTTTCGAATGTCTAACGATTTAAGCAAGTGGAGTCACCCACACCGACCTGTGTGCTCTGCGGCTAGACCCTGGAAGGAATGAAAAGCTTTGCATTGCAAAATATACTCAGGTTTACCCGTTATAATTACAATGCAAGAACATCCAGGGGTGTCTGCGTCATTAACGTCAATCGATTCACCTCTTTTACCCACCCACCCCTAAAAACTGGAATGAAATAAGTCAGTGACCTTATGACCCTATTGGACGTCGTGACCCCGTTAAACTACTCACGAATTAGTTGTGTTACGGCGATCACTTCACAGTCCATTGGTATTTGTTTCCACATTTGTCTGTTAACAAGAAAGAACACAAACTGAAGGCACCAGTCAAATATTGTCTCATCTTGTCAATGTGAAGGTTCAGCGCAGTTAACCACGTTGTCGGGGAAGAGTCTTCGCGTTTCAGCTAATCGAGCTTCCCCCAAAACAGCTCCTCTCCACTTCGATTGGTGTGCGGTTTTAGACAATGCACGAGCTGCTCCAGCCAGACTAAAATCCTATAACTGTCTACAAAACTGGCTCATTTCCTATCATCGGTGTCACTTAGCTGCTTGTAGATCAGCTGGAGAAGAACACGTTAACTGAGGTAATGGTCGCGGGTTTTGCCTGAATTATGCGTAGTAGGGTTGCCCATTAAGTTTAAGCCCTCATCTGCACACCGAAGCATCTGAATGTCAAAATTGTTAAGTCAGAGAAAAGTTCTTTTAATATAGCACTTCAGTCCACTGTTTAAAGTGTATTCGTTTAAGGTTTATGTATGGACGAAAATGAGGACCAGTGAAGTAGACTTGAACGGGGTCGATCAACTGGAACATGGTAAAACTCAGATTAGTCATACGCGAAATTCCGCCTAAATCAGGCAACGTAGTCTATGCTATCAGCACAAAATGATGATCGAGCAAACCTACGAAGGAATCCCACCGAAAATCCAATGCGGTCGATTGATATACGACCGAACCGCACGGCGTTTTATTGTAGGAACAGCTGATCTTTTTTAGCTTCGTTCAGCAGACAATACCAGATCGATAAGGGCAGCAGTGCACAAATCGTCGATTCAGTTAGAAACTCTTGTCGTTTCTGTCAATAAAATGATAGTGTACTGAACAGAGTATAAATAAACCATAGATTTTGAATAGGATAGGTGTGGAATTCATGGGTGCAGATAACAATAATGATGAAAATACCTCGGCTGTAGAAAAAGTTTGGTGCCTAGCTGCAATGCACGAAGCCTGGGTTGCCCAAGTATAGACAGGGACGATCGAGATGCAGAGGTTGGGTTCGAACCACGGTCCTACCGATCAGTAAATTCGAACTCATGGGTGAAAGTGACTTGCGTAAATCCCAGAAATAGCAAAGTTGTCCCCAATCATAACTATCACCGACAGCATCATAGTAGTACTGAATACTCATTTTTAACTGCCAAAGAGTGAAAAGAAAACGAAAGGGATGGTACTTAACACAGACAGATTCACGAATTCAAAAAAGGCCAACAAGAAAATGGTGCCTGAATTTTAGAAGGTAAACGATTTAAAATGCTCTTGGCATCACAGTGGTATATAAAAGTCGTTCAGTTATACCGACTTTTAGGTACTTAGCTGCCATGCCAACTGAAGGAAACACGAGAGCTGTGATACTTCCAGGTTGCCCAAGCCTAAACAGAAGCAGCCGAAATGCCGGGGTTGGGTTCGAACCGCGGAACTTCCGGTCAGAAATTCTGTGCTTTAACCACTGAGCTCAAAGTGGAACGGCACTAGTGGATCTACACCAGCATGCATTGCGGAATTCGCATGACATAAGTTGACACGACGACAGACGAACTCTTGCTAAGGTGGCATTCCAGCAATGCAGCACCACTATCACCACTGGAATCATATAATTTCTACGCTTTGTAGGATTTCTAATCACGTGCAAAAAGAAACACGTGGACCCTAGTTGTAAAGATACATCTTGAAAGATTAACGAGGCAGACGTATCTGATCGTCATATCGAAGTGGAACGTCAGTAATGTAGCTCACTGTTTCGATCTGATCACTACCTCTAACTTATTGATCGCCCCTATCCACACGGGGTGGAGCCACCTACCTTCTATTACAGGCTTCGTGGTGGTGATCCTCACAAAAAAACAACTTTGTTTTTTTTTCTAAACAATAAATTCACCGAACCAGTATGTGACCGTTATTTACAGTGTGCACGTAGGTTTACGATCAGTAGGAGGCTGGTATGCCGTATGAAAATAGAGAAGCACTAAATTACGATGCAGTCCAAAAGAAAAAGAAGTGCACCGGCAGCGAACCAAAGCACAGCCACCATATCGCTGTCAAATGACGGACTAACGAACGACCAATGGAAATCGTTTGCAAAAGTCTCAAACGCGATCCCTGTTTATGGAAGCGCTGTCATAGCAACCAGCGATGGATAGGAGATTCGTAGGCGAGAATGTACTTTAAACGAACTGGAAACGTTTTGTTCAGCTAGAAAAACACTGCGTTACGAATAGGCGGAAACAGCCAAATACTCCCGACCCCAATATCATGTGAGATCAGGCACGAAAGTATTAGGATCGGATTAGATTTAGTCAATAAGACATAATATACGGCTGAACAGAGGAGATGTTTCTTCCGGCCCTTCTAACAAACAGCCCAATCGATTGTGAACATTTGGTGGGGATCGCAAAACAATCTGCATTGGTAAAGTAGTGGAAGTGGATACTTCCTGGGATAAATCTAACTGACATACCCGATAATACCAAGAATTATGCGCACCAAGTAATAAATAAAGGATTATGTCAACCAAATTGATCCATCTTTGATCGATGTACTTTTCCTGTATAAGTGGAACGTAAAAGCATTAGCGCTATTACCAACTAAACATGGCACTCTTCCTAACTTTACAGAAGGAAATGCAAAAGCCTACCGGAGGTGTTTCGCTCAGGAGGTCCTTGTAGCCTTACTCGGATGACGGTGACGCAATTATTTTGGATAACTTCGATGAGCAAAAGGCACTGTCAGTCAAATCCCTCAGTCATGAACTTAGTTCCCGCGAGGAATCTCAGAGTATCCAGGTCTGGTTTGATGAACATGGTGAGGGAGTGCAACAGTGAGTGACAAACGTGTCGCGATCTCCTCCGTCCCCATAGTTCGGAGAGGGGTAGTACGAAAATGTTGGAGAACTATCAGTAAACATTCCCCAGTCAGATCTAGTGAGCTGAGGTCTCCCTGACTGTTGCACCAGTCTATACAACCAGCTTCACTGCGCACCTGTGCTAATAAGCACGAGTGAGGTGAGCGACCGTATTGGGTATTGTATCATGATATGAAGAGGTAACCTCATAAAAACGGTGTCGCCCGATAATTTTGTCAGCGACAGCTATTTCAAATAACCAGAGATCTACAGAAC